ATGTGTAAACATAACTGGCAATAAAGCTCATTCTGATTCTGATTCAACATGGTGAAATACACTGAGGGGGCGACCCACTCCACATATAATAAAAAAATTGTTTTTTATTGAAAACTATTATGAGTACAATCTTCGTCTCATGTGAATGTACACCATTCAGATGATTCTAAACAAAAACCCGATTCATTCCTTAATTATTATTTTTTTTTATAAAAGCCAAACCTCTGAATGCACCTTTAAACAAAAAGTTTATTTTGCAGGGAACAACATCACTATCTTAAGTAAAATGGCAAAACGCATATACGTTTATAAATTGTATAACATACAACAAATGGTGTATTTACAAATGAATCTCTGTCCCAAATGTAAGAAAAATATTTCAAAAGCCTTTTGAAAAATCATAAAGGCTTTACAGACACACTATTCCTGCTCAGTCGTCATCATCATCATCCTCTTCCAGGCGTCTTGTGTTCTCAGCGTTTGCTCTCAGGACAGCTCCAGGACTGGGGTACGGCCTCTGCTGGAACAGGGGTCCTGCCGCTGTGGTGTCTGCTCCGGTCTTTGCCTCATTGCGTTTGGGGAGACCAGTTGACCATAAGCCCCTGAAAGCAACAGCACCACATATTGATCACGAACATGTACTTTATTACAGAAGCAACCTCTTTCCAGAGCACATGTAAGTGCAATTTAAGTGCATTGCATTGTCATTTGTTGAATACTAAACATTTCTGCAACTTTAGTAGGTATCCAATGTAGGGCCCTATGATTTCCGCAATGTGGAAAATACAATCAGTTACAAAAATGGTATTTACTGTACAAAGTGGAATAAATCACTTTAATTGTCTGTGAATATTAAACCTCAAACTACTGCTATTTAAATATTAAGTCTGCATGTTTTATGTCTCTGTAAAAGAACTCAACAGTTTTTTGTCTAGCATGCATACTTGAAGCATGCATGACACTCGTTGTGTTTTCAGCGTCTGCCGTCTCATTATATGAGGACATGAATACATGAACTTTCAGTCACTTAATGAGCATTTCATCAATTAATTTGATAAACCTATTGTCTGATACACATAGAAACTCAAAAGATCTTCATTACAACTCTTTACTATAAAAGTTCTTCAATTTAACTTGAAGACATCATTACAAAAATATTTTTCCTATTTTACAGTAGAACATTCTAAAATAGTAATAAAATATTACAGTTGAATTAATAACAATAGTAATAACGTTTATTAAAACTTTAAGAAATAATCAAAATTTTTCTTCCATTTTTTCTTCCGAGTAAACCTCAGCAGCACTTTGCCAAAAAAGAAAGGAAGTGTTCTAATTGCATTTGATTTTAAAAGATTACTTGTGTCACATTCATTTAATTATGATTGTTTGTGAAAATAGCTCCCTGTCTCTGTCCCGCTCTCGATCCCTATCTCGGTCTCTATCCCGACCGTCCTCCCTGTCTCTGTCCCGTTCGCGCTCTCTGTCTCTCTCTCGCTCTCGATCCCGGTCTCTCTCTGCCTTCTCGTAGTGGCTGTCCCCTTTGTCATGTCCAGTATCACCTGGGATGAAAAACACAAACAGTTGCAGCATATGTCTCAATAATGTTACTTACAGAAGCACAAAAATGTGTGCACACTTATGTTTTATGACCATATATTACCTTTCTGTTTCTTAATGGCTTTGGTGATGACAGCTGCCGGGTCATTGGGGGACAACCAGGACACTAAATCCGTCTCTACGTTCCAGTAGTAAGGAAGTCCACTAAGGACAAGACACGAGGATGATAGTTATTTATAAGTGACAGCCATTTTGATCCCGTTTCATGGTTTTACCATGGTATTCTTGGAGTATATAATGAGTAATTGAAAGTACCACATTATAACAATCACATGCAATCTTTTTACCATGATACATAATAGTACTTTCTTTCACGTTCAAAACAATGAATCTTTGCCTTGATATTTTAATGCAAATAAGCAGATATTATATGGGGGGGTAATTAATGAACTGCTTACCAAGCAGGGTCAAAAACTTTGTACCAATTCGTTGGTAAATTTTCAAGCCTTGTAGCTTCATAATCAACGTTGTTATCATCATAGTCTTCAGCGATGATCTCCTCTTCAGCCTCTGAGGATGAGGATGAGAAACAATAAATGAAAGCATCAACTCATGATTTAGTATGTTTTATGGGTCACCCAGTAAGATTAATACGCATATGTATCTTACCGTGGTCAGACTGTTTCACGATGCCTCTTTTAGCGAGGCGCGCAAGTAAAGCTGGAGGCAGAGGCATCTGAAGAGAGAGCAAATCAGCAGTTAATCATCACAGTGCTGAAGAGCCGCAAGGAACGTTAAACTGCCACCATCTGAAACTGCACTGACGGGATGCGGATTTCATATGCAAATAACAGACAGGATAATACACATGCAATGTTATTAAGAAATACACGACGGCGACTGCATACTTTACCTTTATGACGTCCAGAAGCTTAGTTATGCTGTTAAGGTTTCAATGAAAAGAGCCACAAGCGACTCTGGCGCAGAGCAATGACGTAGCGAAAGCGTGAAGTGACGCTCATCTGAACATTTACTTGTATTATTGTAAAATAGATTATTTTTTTAGGAAATACACAAAGCATATGGTGTTTTAACACGTTTAAAAAATAATGTAAACGTAACACTTGATGTTTTTAACGGCAAATGGCAACAAAAAACGCTGTGAACTTAATTTTTATGCCTTAATTCTTATGATTTTAAGGATGGTGCTATTTTTTATGTCATAGTCTGATGATGAATTGGCACTTCGAAGTCCACACTATTAATTTAGTATTTTCTTCGGTAAGTAGTTCCAGAGTGCCTTTCCTGAAGTTTTTATTATGTTTAGCAAATATTACCTACCTACCACATTAGTGTCTGAATTATCATTACACGTCTCAGTAAAAGAAATGCTTACAAACGATTAGATCTCTCCATTATTATAGATTTCCAGCAGACAGTGCTTCTCAGTAAATAATAAACTGTTTTCTATTGAGAAAGCACTATTATTACATATATCTAGTTCCTGGCCTCTAAAGCTAACACTTGTTGAGAAATTGTTTTCAGATTATAAAATTAAGGGCTAGTTCATATGGTGACGTTTTATATATAATAGAATTGCATCAGAAGTGTCGACTTTCTCTTGAGGACTACGCATAAAGAAATCCAAATATCAGTCATTTAAATTTAAGTAAATATATGAGGCTAATAACCTCTGAATCGTTTTTCAGAAACACAAGGTTCTTAGTACAATGTAACGCTACACCTAAAGAGGGAAAAGAAAGTTTCCATACAAAAGAGGGAGCTTTATTAACAAAACACAACAACAGAAACAAGTCTTTGTTGGACAGACTACAGGAACAAGTGTCATGTTGATAAGTGAGTGTTTAATGGCTGATATTCATCTCATTGTCCTCATCCTCCTCTGAGGAAAAAGAGGAGAAGCAGACCGGCTCGCACTCCAAGGTGCACAGGTTCACAAGACAGGCTGTCTGTGTGCTGCTGAACTCTGGGATTGCTACCAGGAGAACATCTTGTCCTTCAGGTCCTGAGATGAAAAATAAGGCAAAAATTACCTTACAAAAATATACTGGTAATGCATGGCCACACTTACACACAGTGCTGTTTAATATTAAATAGTCTCGTCTTCACCTGCGACTAATTTACATTGGTAGCTTGGTGCGTTTCCGCTGAAGTACACATGAGGGCATTCATCCATAATAAAGGGATCTTTCTGATAGAACGGGTAACAACCTTGAGGGTCAACAAAACATGTCAGAGCAATCTAGCATTTTCAGAGTGCTTTATACAAAATAGTAATACAACAAGATATTCAAAAACTTCAAAATGAATACTTGTTCTTTTTATAAATTCAAATGATTTTAGGTCCTGAAAGAACCATACTGAAGTGTTTAATATACTATTG